TGGTAGAAGGTTTACCGACGTTTCAGAGGTGTTTACTACCTCCGTCATCATGGCGATGAGTCTACTGGACTACACGGCGCGGCAAACCATGAGCTGTCTTCATACTAGCCCATGTGACAACCTCAGATCTCGCACGATTTCGTATTCCCCGTGTTATTAATCCGCTTTACTGTGTGACATCTCGTGGAACGTGGTAAGGAATTCCTAGTACCCCTAGGCGTATGAGATATTGCAGGTGGTTGAGAAACGTCTCGTTTCCCGTTAAACGAACACTCGTTCACGCAGAAGGCGTCGTAAAACTCTGGCATCCAGAGACACTTACAACCTCCCACCCCACCCTTCAGCGCTGTCGGCCTCCCTTTCTGGAACACTGAGCTCGAAAATGAAAATTAATGCAAAACCCTTTCCCGACACAAGTGTTAGACGCTTTTGTAAAATACACTAAAGTTTGGAGTGTGTGAAATTTGCGCGTAATTCTTTGAACGTGACCATAATGGTCCATGACCATTTCTTGCTTCTCTTAATGCTTTGAATCTTCTGCCTTTCTCTCTCGAAGTTTGCTTTCAAGTTTAGTGGAAAACTTCAGGGAAGAGACTTTGGGGGGAGGGGGGATAATAATAATAAAAACTCACCAATGACGGCTTCGCTATTTTTTTTCTCACACCTTTCAATTTCCTGCTCCTGTAACGTATGTTTCAGGTTTAATGTCCCAGTCTGGCCTTACTCCAGGTGTTATTTCATTCCTTTCCCTGCTCAATATTTTGTCTCTGTCAGCTGCGTTGACGATGCAAATGAGCGCACAGCATCCAGCCTATAGGAGTGTATTTGCATATCGCATTGTTCTTGATTTCAATTATTGTTTTTTTAAAAAAATCTAGACTTCCACTGCTCATCGCATTGTCCTGTTCGTATTACTCTCCATAAAAGTAATAAAATAGGTTATTCCGTGTTTTGTTGATTGTATACAAAGAAAATGCTTTCAAAATTTTTTTTTCTTTATTAAGTCTGAATTTTACTGCGATAAAACGTTTTACAGAAAAATATGTTAGGGACATTCAAATTATTGCGACGACCCTTACATGCGACTGACGTAAGTTTTAATATTTCACTTAATAGACAAATCTGTACGGGCATCCTGTGACAATAATATATGAGGCATTTATTTTTAAATAATTCTCTTCAAGAATTTTGAGTAAATTTTTGGTATATGATCGGGTTATGATGGATTCTTAGGAAATAAACGACCAGGTCGGGAGCTGTTTCTGCTAACAGCAGTGTCGACCCTTCGGCTTGTTATTGGATAGAACCATGCTTAATTTATCACCACATAATAAGCGAGTTAAGGCGCATTAACCTCGATAGTAGATGGAAGTGAATGTTCAGCTTCACACTCTGGCCGTTTTACCCCTGGGGAAAGCCACATTGCCGGTTCGGGAGGACATTGGGTGAGCTCCAGAACGAGTCTGGAATTCGTCTGATGAACAGAAAACCTTTTACATCTGCAACAGATTGCATCTAACAGAGTAAGATACTACTTTAAGTAGGCTAGTAAAGTAGACCTATGTACTTCTGAAATGTTTACGGTCTTGCTAAAACATTACAAAGCATTTTCCTTTGGACACTTTTCTTCGGTATCATAACTGTCAATGATACACAATTTGGTGATTTATCATTTCTGAAAAGAGTCGCTCTTTTTCCAAACCCTGAATCCATTTTAGGACACAGGGCAAACTTAATTTACAGGAGCTGTTCTGGAATGTTCCTAGGATTATGGCTAGTTATTTACAACATGCAAAGTGTTGAGAAAATTGTTCAAACATTTGTGAGGAACATAAAACACTTATTCTTTCCCTGTTGATCTGTGAACAGCTTTAGAACAAGGTGAATGGGTTTTAGAAGTAATACCTGCTGAGGATTCACAAAAAGGAAACATCAAAAGGAGAAGCAGTTTTCTTGTTTGCGTCATTCAGTAACACAGTGACAATGAAGCAGTTATTGGGCCATAAATAAAAGTATTTCTTCCCTCTGTCCATCCGTTCGTCCGCCCTCTTTCTCACGCAGAATTCCCGGTGGTTATTACCGGCTGGCAAAGCCGTTGTCTCCTGTACGTGGTCCTCTTTAACTGCCCTTCCAAGTCTGATCTTCCTTTACACACGAATGTCCAAGATTATCATCCAAGTAATACACAATTAATCACGTTTTTCTTCGTTGGTACCAGTTAATACAGAACCAACTTAACCCTCTGAAACCAAAGTTCGTCAAAATGATGGTTAGGAATCTAGTCCGTACCGCAAAGAAAACACAACACGTCAGCATTGCAAAGATTAATTTGTTAATGCTGTTTAAGGGAATAATCACTGCTCACAAATACAAAGTGTAGAGTTACTGGTTCTTAAAGCAAGTGGTACATATGGTTACCACTGGACTTTAAATAGTGAGTAACAAACTAATTAAGGAGAAATTGCATAATATGAGGTTTGATAAATTATACTCATGATGTAATTAAGATGATGAAACCGAGTATGATGAGATGGGCAAGCCATGT